CAATGGGGCAAGTAGAAAACAAATAAGATGGTGGATTTGTACTTAAATATATCAGTAATTGCAGTAAAAGTAAGTGGATAAAAATCTCAAAGACACCCTGAGAAAAAGCAAACCCAACTATATATGGTTTAAAAGGGACATCTTATATAAAGACTAGAGGCCTGATGCACGAAATATGTGCAAGGGCCTTGGCCCCAGCCCCCACCCGCTGCGGCTTTGGGAAGAAAGACCTCGGGAGGACATCCAGTCTAATTAGCATATTATGCTTTTATTATATAGAGAAATGTTCCAAGTAAAAGAATGGAAAATACGTTATTTTGTGCTAACCAAAAGAAAACTGATGTACCCTAACGCTAATATCAGACAAAGTAGACTTTCAGGCAAAAGTATTATCAGAGATAAAAAAGGATATCTCACAATGACAAAAGAATCAATTCAACAAAAAGGTCTAACAATTGTAAAATTACATGCAATGTATAACTGCTTCAAAATGTATAGTTGATGGAATTAAAGATGATTCTATGCTCACATTGGAAATTTCTCAAAATACCTTGCATAGTTACTGACAAGCTAATTTTTTAAACTTATAAGAATATTAGAGGCCTGGTGCACAAAAATTTGTGCACTCGGGTGGGGGGAAGGGGGAGGACACATTAACTCCCAGATCCCAGAATCATTATAAAGCTGTAGTATTTTAAAAGTCTGGTACTGGTATAAAAATAGACAAGGAGGCAAAGGGAACAGAATAGAGATTAGAAACAGATCTACACACATACAGTCACATGACAAAGCTGACACTGCAATGCAGTAGTTTACAGAAAACAGAGACTTTTCACTAGATCAAGCATGTCAAACTTGTGGCCTACAACGAATATTTTTGCGGCCCAGCCTATATAACGGTCTGTAAGAAATGTTTTAATAAAAATTTTGTAACTTAATTTTTACAATATCCTGTTATGCATAATTATTAATAGCAAACTACAACGTTCACTAATGACTGATTACTATAATCATGTTGCATTCACTTCCCTTACAAGCGGTACGTGCAGGAGCACCATTTCTCTCCACTAATACTAGCAGTGAATATTTTAGCAGCCAATTGCCATGTCATTAGTCTTGTACTGACTTGTTTGGTGTGTGCAACAGAAAATATTTTGCTTCTGGAGAACAAAAAAAATAGGTTTATTTGCGTTATGCTTATTAATTTGTGTAGCTATTTAGTGTCTGGTAGTTAATGTTCAAGAAAAAATATTAATTTTTATTAAAATGTTCTATTATTTTGTTAATTATTACACATTTATTTCAGCCCTTGGTATTCAGCATGTCTCCACTGAAATAAACCTACGTTTATATGAAAATTGAAGCTTTTGATATTTTTGTGGCCCACATAACCGTAAACCTTGTTTATTTGGTCCATGTTAGCCTTTGAGTTTTACATGGTTGCAATAAATGGTGCTGGATCAACTGACTACCCAGGTAGGGGTAAAAGTCTCATACATTTTATAAAAATCAAATGAAAGAAAAAAAAATAGAGCTTCTGAAAGATAACATGAAATAGCTTCATGATTTGGTAAGAGTACTCAACAATTTCTTAAACAGGACATAAAAAACACTAACCATAGAAGAAAAGATTGCTAAGTTGCTTTTATTAAAATTAAAAATTTTTATTCAAAAGAAATTAAGAGAGTGAAAGGCAAACCATAGGGTAGGAGTAGATATAGCAACAATACATATATCCAACAAAAACAAACTTATTTCTAAAATAAAATAATGCCTTAAATCAATAAGAGAGACAAGCCAACCCAATAAGATGTGTAAAACACTTGGACACTTCACAAAACAATTTCTAAATGGTCAAGAGGCATATGATAAAAGCTGCACAACATCAGTAGTAATAAGGAAAATAGAAATTAAAATCATCTGTATATATAAAACCCTAATATGCAAATAGACTGAATGGCGGAACAACCGATCGCAATGACATGTGCTGACCACCGGGGGCGCGTGCGGAACATGGTGGGCATCAGCCACAGCAGGATGGTGGAGCAGGTGAGCGGGGGGCGCCAGACCAAGGTGGGGCACCAGTCACTGTCATCGGGGCGAGCTTATGGTGGTTACTGAAAATTCTTTACTCCCGTGCACTGCGGTCCTGCCTGGTGCTCGCACCTGCCCCGCTCGCACCCACTGCCAACACCAGAGCCACTGCTCGCGCCAGCCCCGATCGCTCAGTGCCATCAGCGGGTGTAAGCAGCAGCTGCCGGCCCCAACTGCTCCTCTGGGCTTCTCCACCTTGCCCTGATCCTGAGGGGTGATTGGGGCCGGCAGTCCCTCTCACACCCGCTGCTGGCACCAGAGCCTCCGCTCGCACCCACTGCTGGTGCCCACCCTGCTTGCACCCGGCACCGCACCCAATCGCTTGGCACCATCAGCGGGTGCGAGCAGAGGCTGCCAGGCCCAATCGCCCTTGATGCTTCTCCACCTTGCACTGCTCCTGAGGGGCGATCAGGGCCAGCAGTCCCTCTCACACCCGCTGCTGGCACCAGCCCCAATCGCTCTGCACCATCAGCAGGTGCAAGTGGGGCTAGTGCAGCCGTGGGCAAACTACGGCTCGCGGGCCGGATCCGGCCCGTTTGAAATGAATAAAACTAAAAAAAAAAAAAAGACCGTACCCTTTTATGTAATTATGTTTACTTTGAATTTATATTAGTTCACACAAACACTCCATCCATGCTTTTGTTCCGGCCCTCCGGTCCAGTTTAAGAACCCATTGTGGCCCTCGAGTCAAAAAGTTTGCCCACCCCTGGGCTAGTGCCTTCAGCGCATGGGAACGGTGGCGGCAGGAGCGGAGCTGCCAACAAAGGGGACCGAGGACTCAGGGCCGTGGTGGGGGCATTGAGGATGGGCTGAGACCCACCCCTGTGCCCATTGCAACCTTGCGAACCACAGTTCCTTTCAAGGTGCACGAATTTGTGCACTGGGCCCCTAGTAATAAAATATTACTTTACTTTCACCAAGTGACCAAATCAGGGCAATAACAAGTGTTCAGGAATGTAAACTAATATTAACATCTGGGAATTTTTTGTTTTTGAGTAAAACTGAGACTCCATAAACCTATGTTTACTGTGGTTTCTTGTGCCTTCTGGCACATGACTATTTACCCAGGTCTGCGAAGCAACAAGAGAAAGTCCAAGGTGTTTCATAGAAAATAAAAATACAACAATCTGGCCCTTGTCCTATCTGCCCCTTTTTTACCCTCCATGTTGTGCATCTTTTGTTTATGTTGTTCCCTGAAATGAACTAAATGTTCATGCTTTGCCAAAATTCACATGAAACCCTAACCCCCAAGGTGAGGTATTTGGAAATAGGATCATTGGGAAATATAAGGTTATGAAGGGTGTGGTCCTGGTCTGATGAGATTAATGCCCTTATAAGAAAAGACACCAGTCTGCTTGCTGACTTTAATGCTCTCCCTTTCTGCCCGGTGAAGACACAGGAGGCAGCAGCTGTCTGTAATCCAGGAAGAGAGCCCTCATTAGGAATCAACCATGCTGGCTGGCACCCTAATCTTGGGACTTCCAGCCTTCAGAACTCTAAGGTAGTTCTGTTAAGATACCTACTATGTGGTATTTTGTTATGACAGAATGAGTTAATACACTCACTCTAAAACATGCGTCCTCCCATTCCTGTGTCCTTTTCCCCAATCCTTATTGTCAGCCCCACCTTTGTAATTTGTAAATGGTTAACTGTTCCCATCCTTTAGGCATACCAGGAAAAATTACTCACTTTCTTTTTTTAAATATATTTTTTATTGATTTCAGAGAGGAAGGGAGAGGGAGAGAGAGATAGAAACATCAATGATGAGAGAGAATCATTGATTGGCTGCCTCCTGCACACCCCCTACTCGGAGGTTGAGCCCGCAACCCAGACATGTGCTCTTGACTAGAATCAAACCCTGGACCCTCCAGTCTGCAGGCCGACGCTCTATCCACTGAGCCAAACCAGCCAGGGCAATTACTCATTTTTCACAATAAGTTCAATGTCTCTAACCTGTGCACCCTGCAACACCATGAGCGTGCATATAATACCTCACTAGACCCCCTTAGAATAGACACCAAAGGAAAAAAAAGGTTTATTTTCCTTTTTATCCCTCAACTCTAAAGCATGGAGTCTTTCATACGGTATAAAACAATTAGTTAAACTAAATGCTTTATCATGTTGTTCATTTGATTTGTCTCACTATCTATACAGTGTATGCAAATTTCTTCCCTAGTAAATTGCATGCCTGAAGCCCTCAGGTCAAATGAGAACCATTCAATAAGAATCAACTGACCGGTGTACTCAGTGGTTAGAGAGTTAGCCCATGCACTGATGCATCGTGGGTTCAATCCCTGGTCAAGGGCATGTGTACCTGTGTTGCAGTTTTGATCCCCGGTCCCAGTACAGGTGCATGCAGGAGGAAACCAATCGATGTCTCCCTCCCACCCTCCCTCCCTCCTTCCCTCCCTCCCTCTCATTCTCTCTAAAAAGCATTGGAAAAAAATATTCTCTGGTGAGGATTAACAACAACAAAATCAGCTGGTATTTAGGCACAGATAGCCATTATGTCACTGAACACGAATACATATTATAGGTAACACCAATCAAGAAGTGTAGATACTTTAAAACAACTTTGATTTTGTAGACACATAGTGGGTATGAATTAAATTACTCAAGTTCACACAGTATAAAAGAACTGTAACTAATACAATTATCCTTTGCACCTTTGTCACTGAAAATTTTAAAGTCAAACTTATGGCTCAATTATTAAATATGTAAAGGACTTTATGCCTATATATTTATTATCTAATTCTGGATTTGATTCATTATAAATCACCTTCTCCTGGGTTTCTATTGTTGCTTGTTTATTTTGCCTGGTGAAGAGCAGATGGCCTTAACCCTTGTCTAACACACCCAACTTCTATACATATGAATAACATACTGGAAAATATTTATCTTCTCACCTGACTGGCTTGGCTTTGCAAGTAGACTCTTCTGGCATTCAGATCTTCAAAGGGAGAAGGTCTTGAGCTTCTATAAGGCTCACTGGTAACAACGGTCTCTTGCTGGAAAAGATGATCTTTCACTCGAGAACTGGGAATATTCTCTTCAGCAGTTGCCTAATGGGAACAATCCCCAACTCATTAGTTGCCAGAATATAAAAACAACAATAAAAAATTAGATACTTTCACTCTAACAAGTATTTAGCAAATCAATGAGAATGTATCACTACCAACACTTGAATAGCAATTCCCAAAACTCAAATGTACATGATTAGGGAGCCATGTCAAAATAATAATTTAAAAAAATCAACTTTATGAACAAACTTACTGAACGTAACTTAGGAAGAATTAGAAGGTTAACCATTCCATGTGAGAGAGATATTTAATTATAATGAGCTTTTAATTACAACTAAAGTGCTCTTTTGCACCTTAAAAAGGAAGGTATGTACTAAGAACTGTGCTACACAGCTATTATTACATCTTTCTAGAATTCTGAATGCAAGTATGTTTAATCTCTATGCATAAATTGATTCCATTTTATTTTAGAGTCCACATAGTACCTTTTTTACTTCATAATTTATCATAAATCTCTTCCCATGTCAATATATAAATATGTACAAGTGCTTTGAAATTGTTACAAAGAAGTTTAGTAGTTTATATATTATATATACCATAGGCAATATTCTACATATGGGCATTGGATTGTTTCCAATATTTTGTTACATACATAGCAATGTGCACCTCCTTATAAATACATCTTGGTGGACTGGTAGTATTATTTCATTAGGATTAATTCCTATAAATAATATTACCGACTAAAGGATATGCATATATTCCAATTATATTACAAAGAGAATTGATCAGTAGTATATGAAAAAAGAACCATTTCCTCACATCTCTGCTCACACTGGGCATTATCATTTACCAATCTTTTCCAATACAATCAAGAAAAACATTTTTAGTGTTATTTTCCAAAAGGATTATCTGTACCATTTTCTTAAGTAAAATTAGTAATAACCAAAACACTTTCTTAATTTTTGTACAAATGAGTAAAACGTGTTCAGGTTTAGTCAAGTTTGAATTTTTTTTTTACTGGATTATAACCCTTTAAAAAAAACTACTACGGGAACATGGACATAATCTTAAGTTAGGTGGTGGGAAGTGCCAAAATTCTTCCACAAGACTAGAAAATATACATACAGTTGCATGATCTTCAGCACTTAAGAATGAAGTCAGATCATGTGGGTTCAAATTTTATGATTTATGCTACTGAAAGCACATTCAATGCTTTCAGTATTGTGCTGGCATCGACTCATCTGTATTATCTATAGAGAAACCCATGCCAACTTTAATGTTTTACTCTCAGAGGCTGGTATAATAATTATTCTCCTATGGTTGCTAAGAGATTGTTTAGCTTTTTCTTTTTCCAAGACTACTATGGCAATTTTGTGTGTAGAGGCAAAAGGATGCCAGGTAAAACGATAAAACAATTTGGGCTGTAGCTCTCTACTAGATCACAAGGCTAGGTGACAGCTGTGAAGAAAATAAAAACAAAATTTGGTTCTCTCCACTTTTGCTCTTCTTCCTGTAGTAATCCTGACACAGAGAAAACTTAAGTGTTGTTCTGCAAGCCTTTTTGATTGTATGTTTCCTAATAAATAACCAATTAAGTATGAGAAAGTAAATATCACAGTCTATTTATTGCTCAAAAACTTCCTTTTTGTATATCACAAATCACAGGTTTCAAAAGGTGTGGCTGAGTCATATCCAACAATAGATGTTTTTAATGATTATACTATTCGTTTACTTTAGAATGATCAAAAAATTTTAAATGTTATTTGATAAAGAAATTTTATATTTCAGTGCTGCATATGCTAAAAATGCTACCAAAGTTATTTTTGGCATTTAAAATTATATACTCAAATTATGCAAACAGCATAGAAAATGGAAAAAATGATTAACAATTCCATGAACTTAACAAAACCACTATTAACATTTTGGAGTAGCATCCAGTAGAAATTCATTTCAGACCTGACTATAATTGTCTCCTATTCATTCATTAGATTTCTTAAGTTACATTTGATTAAAGATAAGAATAAACCTTGAGTTTTAAATTTTGCATTTGTCTATGAGCTTTGTCTGAAAACATTAACAGCATTTATAGTATATTATTTAAGCAACCTGAATACAGTAATCAGTGATGAAACAATATGAAAGGAATATGAGAAATGTACCAATATATAATGCCCAGCAAAAACAGAAAAGAAAAACAAGTCCTCCACCCTAAATTAATAAGCAGAAAAACTAAACTACCTTCCCAATGTAACTTTAGTTTGACTTAAAAAAAAATTGTATTAGATTTTCAGAGATTGTTTATTGTCTCCAAATCTGAGTAAATAGGCAGTAGTTACATAGTTCCTGATAACTATATAAATCTTTATACAATCCTCTAAATGACAAATCTATTTCTAGAATCTAATTCAAACATCACATTCAGAAATACCAACAAAAATTAATGTAAAAGGCTGTGGAAAATAAAGTAAATGTTGAATGGAATGTGAATGGTTAAATAATTAGTAGTACTGTTACATGATATAAGGGCTAAAATTCAAAGACTGTGAAGTCAGATCATGTGGGTTCAAATTTTATGATTTATGCTACTTGAATTCCAACCACCACCATCCCCAATACAAACAAAAATCCTAACAAAAACACAATCAAATGGAAAAGATTGATCCTGATAGTGCTTTTTTAAAAAGTATGTATGTATTTAAACACAACATGCAAGAATTTAAAAAAGGCCTAGCTAACTAAATAAACCTATCTATTAACTTAGTTTTCAGATATTGAGCCTTATTAAAATGTTACCAACTTTGAAAATTAGTATACGAACAATTTATATCATCCTAGCCTATAACAAAATAACTTTAAACAATATAAATCACAAACCTTTTAATCCTTTTGGCTCAGAAATGACATTACCCAATTCTAAAAAAGGGTAAGTTAGTCAAATACTTCTCAGTAGCAGAAAGAAAAGATAGAACAACTTTTCATTTCCTATCAATTAGGTATCATCTTTCTACTTGCCAAAAGCATGAAATCTGAGATCTCTTCCTCTTACTGCCTCAAGTCTGATCTAAATATAACAATTATTACCTCTTTTAGGCTTAAAAACTTAGATAATGAGTTACTCTTTTAAAACCATTTTAGTTGCTTTTGCAAATAATGACCAATAAAGTAAACCTGACATAACCACTACCATAAATCAGTCAATTTGTACTAAAAATAATTTCAAAATGTTTATGCCGGGCCCCATAGGTGAGTTATGAAACAAGATGTACTTTACCCTAATAAAGTAGTTAAAAAGCCAATTTCACCCAACCAGTGTGACTCAGTGATTGAGCGTTGACCTATGAACCAGGTTCGATTCCTAGTCAGGGCACATGCCTACATTGCAGGCTCGATTTCCAGTAGGGGGTATGCAGGAGGCAGCCGATCACTGATTTTGTCTTTTCCCTTAGAATGTCAAATTAAAAAATGATGACAGCAAACACAACAATAGCCGTCCGGTGTAAATAAATCAAAATTACACCTATATTTCTGGCACATCAGCAAATAATAATAATAATACATTTTTTGGTGTGCTGCAGAATTTGAGTAATTAGCTTATGTGTGCAATGAAATGAAAAAAGATTAAAAATTGCTGAGTTAAATGAATTTGAATACTTTATACTTCCAACATCTTATTCCAAAATAAGAATGGCATGCAAAAACTTTGGCATATCATGAAATAATAAGGTAAAGTCAAGAGGCTTCTTTGGTAGTTTTAATTATGGATGTTGATTCTTCTTAAAATTGTTCAAATAGGATGTCTAGAAAAATTTACCTCACATATTTACTAGCCTCTGAGTATTTCTCCTCTGCTTTTTTTGTATGTGTGTTATATGTCACTGAGTTGGCTCCAACTCCTGGCGATTCTATGAATGAATGAATGATATCTAAATCTTTTTTTAATGTGTGTTATATCTTTGAGTTGGCTCAACTTCTGGCAACCCCTAGAATGAATGATGCCTACATCTTTTGCCCACCTTTTTAAGCTGAACTTTAACCAAATTTACTTTCATCATAGGGAGCAATTCAGAACATATTTCCCTATTTCTAGTCCCATATTTTGGTAGAAACCAGAACAAAATGGAACCTTGAAAATGTATTTATTTTGCATTTTATTACTTGTTTCTTATACCTAATTAACTCCAACTTACTGTATTTTTTAAAATAATAATTAACCATCAATAAAATAAACAGATTCAAATATTTAAACACATAAACTCTTTATGTACAATAGGGGAACCAGTAATTAAGATACTTCTAATATAAACAAATTACATAAAACAAACCATTGAAAATTAAACTTGAAAACATATTTAGAACAAAAAACATTATGTATTTTAAGTGGAAAAAACAGATTACAGTATAATAATATAATACATGTATGTACACATTTATGTCTAGAAAAAAACAACAACCTAAGAGAGTATTACGCTAAGCGAAATAAGCCAGTCAGAGAAAAATAAGTATCACATGATCTCACTCATATTTAATTAACAAAATAAACTGATGAATAAAATAGAAACAGAGACATAAAAGCATAGAACAGACTGATGAATTTCAGTGGGAAGGCAGAGGTGAGGGGGTGGGAGAGGAGCGATTAACAGAGGAACTTATCTGCATATATGCATAACCCAGGGACACAGACAATAGAGTGGGTGAAGGCCTGGGAGGGGCGGGTACAGGCTGGAGGGGTTAAATGGGGAGAGGGAACCCCACAAACAAACAAAGAGGAGATCTGTAATACTTTCAATGATAAAGATAAATTAAAAAAAAATTAAAAGCTTAAAAATAGTATGGTGGCTATCATGGATGATAACAATTTATATGATTGCAAATATGCATAAAACAGTTTTCCATATCTTTAGCTCACAACTATTTTTACAATGTAAATAACCTGTTATTAGTACAAGGTAATCATACAAATTTGGGTTCACTCAGTATTATTCTAAAAATATTAAGTTACTGCAGAAAACTTAAAAAACACTGAGAAGTATTAATAAAAAAGCCATGTAGCTCTGAATCTCACAATCCAAAAGTAACTAACAGAAACATCTAACATTTTAGCTGTGTAATGATAACACCATAAAATTGTGTTTTATTACTTAATATAGTGCAAGTAAATTCATAAAATTTTAATAGTTGTATAAAAAATATACCTTAATAAATTCAACCATTCCTATTCTTTTAGATAACTTATTTTTATTATCAATCTTTTATACACACACCCTCAAAAATCTGGGTATAAAAAATTTTTGCACATCTCTATTTCCTTAGTACAGATTATTGGAAATTGATGCATTGGATAAACAGGCATGAATGTTTCTATTTTAAAGGCTTTTTAATACAATTACCAAAATGCTTTCTAGAAAGAATCTAACAATCTACATTTTCTCCAGCAGAACATTAATCTGTCAATCTCATGGACAGACACAATATGGGATATAATATCAATTTTTAAACCTTTGGTCATTAGGTTAACTAAAATATGTTAACTTAAGCTACCTGCTGATTAACAGTGAGATAAAACAGAAGGGTGTCCATATGCTTATTAACAATTTGCAATGCCTTTTCTGTGAATTTTTTATATAAGTACCTTCCTAATGGGTGGGGTATCTGTGATAGTTAATTTTATGTGTCAACTTGTCTAACCTATGATGCCAAGCTATTTGGTCAAACACCAGTCTAAATGTTGTTGTTGTAAAGGTAATTTTCTTATGTGACTAACATTTAAATCAGTAGACTCTGAGGAAAGGAAATTACCCTCCATAGAGTTGGTGGGCCTCATTATAAAAACATTTAAAAAAAAGACTGAGGTTCACTAAAGAGGAAGGAAGTCTGTCTCAAAACTGCCTTTCCACTCAAGACCAAAACATCAACTAGTGACAGAACTTCCAGCATGTCTGCCTATCCTGTGGCTTTTGAACTTGATAATCACGTGGGCCAATTCGTTCAAAAGCAAACAAAAAACAATGTGTGTGTGTATCCAAACCAAAACAACATTCTCTCTATATATGTTATGTACATACATACATATATACATACTATTGATTCTGCTTCTCTGTATTTCTTGACAAATACAGTGCCTTAGAAAGTTTCTTAAAAAGTTATGAGTTACTTATTTATTAAGGCTAGTTATTTCCTCTATTTCAGGGGTGGGGAACCTTTTTTCTGCCAAGTGCCATTTGGATATTGAAGACATCATTCGCAGGCCATACAAAATTATCAACTTAAAAATTAGCCTGCTATGTTTGGCCAAACATTTAATTAACTCACCCCCAATGCCTTGGCAGGGCCAGACCAAATGATTTTGAGGGCCTTATATGGCCCACGGGCCGGACGTTCCCCACCCCTGCTCTATATCCTTTATGTTTAAAAAATTCTTTCAAGCCAACTACTTACTTGTAAGTCATCATCTGCTCCTTCAGTTTCATTTTTTAATGCTGGGCATCCTAAGAAAACAGGTAAAAGTTTAATTAAACATAAAATTTTTGTCTTAGATTTTAGTATTACTGACTAATTGACTATGTCATTATAATACTACAGGAGACTGATCAGAGATCATTCTGGGCTGCCTGGCAACCAATCTGATGTTGGCCACTCATACGTGCCCCTTTATTAAAAGAATAGAGAATAAAGTGATTGTTTTCCTCTTCTGCAGGCAAATTCCCAATTACTTACAAAGAGATGTTTTTCTGTGTGTGAAAAGTGTACTATTTACAGCAAGCCCTGCTCCTGATTTCTCCAAAATACTCAAACACCTAGGTCAGTGGTTCTCAACCTTCCTAATGCCACAACCCTTTAATACAGTTCCTCATGTTGTGGTGACCCCCAACCATAACATTATTTTCGTTGCTACTTCATAACTGTAATTTTGCTGTTATGAATCGTAATGTAAATATCTGATATGCAGGATGTATTTTCATTGTTACAAATTGAACATAATTAAAGCATAGTGATTATTCACAAAAACAATATGTAATTATATATGTGTTTTCCGATGGTCTTAGGCGACCCCTGTGAAAGGGTCGTTCGGCCCCCAAAGGGGTTGCGACCCACAGGTTGAGAACCGCTGAACTAGGTAAACTATGTGCACCACACTCCTCTGGTGTTAGATAATGTCCATGTGTGATCTCCTCAATCTGTCTAAATACTCTGATCCAGGAAACAGTATTTAGTACCCAGAAGCAGGATTTTAGTTGCTATAGTAAGAAAAATAAATGAGCCTTAATTCACTATTGATAGTCAATGGCCAATTGTTGCTATTGACCGTTACGCATCAATGTCTCTGTATACATTTTTATTATGTTCAAGAGAGCCTTTAGTTCTAACAAATTCATAAAGAGGGATTTCTCCTAGCAATGAATTCTGAGTTTATGCTACCCTTGAGACATAGCTAGCATGGAGATGAGAAATCTGTCCTTTGAAAAGGGTTGCAATAAGTTTTTCCTTATTGTTATAGAAGGCTAATAAGTAAGAGAAATTTAATGAGATTGTTCAAAGTCTATATAATAACTGGTAATTTGGTTAACCAGTATATTTAAAATAACGTTTACAAATAATAAGATCGATTGAATACAGTAGCAGTCTATTCTACCTGGCTAGGAGTTTGTAAATTTCTCCTTATAAACTGTCTTTTTGAACATTAAACTCAATCTATTTGACCCTAGTGAAAGTGTGTTCTTATGGGGACATAAGTATAGGCTTCAAAGTAATTCAAAACTTAAACATAAATCATATAAATTTTAACAGCCATAGATAACGATTTTCTCTTTAAAGCACTGGTTCTTCAACACTAGCTAAATAGCAGAATCAACTGGGAAACTAACACTAGAGTACAGTACCAAACCAATAATGTCAGAAACACCTGTTAGGTGAGGCATAAGGGCACCATGCATTTTTTAAATTAAAGTTTATTGTAGTGGTTTGAGAATCACAACATCTGCTAGAGAATCTGAGGAAGCACATTCATTTGTTTTTGTAAATTCGTAATATAGTAATTCAGCTAGGATAACAATTCCTTATCACATTTGAAATGTCTAGGAACTTAAAAATAAATAAAAAAATATATATATAATGCCTCAGCTCCACTCCCCAAATAGTTTGATTCAAGTGACCTGGAGTGAGAACTAGTCATTCTATTTCTCAAAAGCCTCCCAGGTAATTCTAATGTGCAGCCAACATCAAGAACACTGACATAAAAATAATTTATGGGCTCTGATTATAAAAATAAAATGACTGCTATCATTTCATAGAATTTCTTTCTGAACTGGAAATCAAACATTATTTGCTTAACAAACTCTAATATTTAAAGTAGCTAAATAAATTATTTAACCACAGTTTCATGCACTATTAATACAGATTTATACTAAGCATCTCCATGTTCTTGCCTATGGTCTGTTTCATAATTAGTTCATTTCTTCTAATATTCAAAATATACAAATCACAATGTTATCTAATATTGATGCAGTTACTTTATACAGAAGCCATTCTATTATTAAAGATGATATTCCTTTTTAATTAGAAAAACAAATCAAGTTTGACTTGTTTGGGGGAAGAAATTAGTTTTAATGTGATTTCTTTGTTTAATTAAGCAGAGGCCAGTCTTACATGTATATACAGTCTCCCTCTTTTTAAAACCTGCAAGCTTGTGCAAGCTTTAGAGTTAATAATTTTAACAGATCGGAAAGATTACAAAGAAATAGATGGGGTTGTAATATTTGTCAATAATGAAATCAGGTAAAAAGAAAAGGGTTCTGCCCTAACCGGTTTGGCTCAGTGGATAGAGCGTCAGTCTGCAGACTGAAGGGTCCCAGGTTCGATTCCGGTCAAGGGCATGTACCTTGGTTTCGGGCACGTCCCCAGTAGGGGGTGTGCAGGAGGCAGCTGATCGATGTTTCTCTCTCATCAATGTTTCTAACTCTCTATCCCTCTCCCTTCCTCTCTGTAAAAAATCAATAAAATATATATTTTTAAAAAGCATTTCTCTTTCAAAAAAAAAGAAAGAAAAGGGTTCTGACATAGAATAACTGGCGTATACCTATATTTGATTATTAGAAATTTTATCTTTATCATTACCAAAACAAGAATATGACTGATATAACATATACACAAGGATTTTAAAAGCTGGAACTGACTGCTCCCCTCTTCCTCAACCTCTTATTTGAAATCACCTGAATTATCTGAAGGGAACTGTTGATGGGTTCTTCAAGGTAATAAATTTAATTGGCATATATTGTGATGTAACAAATTTGAAACAGACTAAGGAGCCCATTATTTTATCTACTTCACCTACAGTGAGCTTTCAAAGTCTGATCACATATCACAAAAGCTGACTTGCTTAAAATAACTCTACTTTACTATAGATAACTGATGAACAGATTAAGAAAATAGTCAAGAAAACTTACCTTGAGAAATATCCTCTATAGCTCTTCGAATACCTCTATCAAAAGCCCTAGCATCAGCAGGACTTTGAAAGGTAAGGCCAAATTTCTTGTCTTCAATCTTCCAGTGGTGAAATGTTGGAGTGACCTTATTGTAAATGAGGTCCTTTTTAAGCATACATTCCAAAACCACCTGTCAAAAGTTAAATGCCAAAAATTACTATATGTGTCAAATGCATCTAATGTAACTCTTAAATACAAACTGAAGAGCTATTATATTTTAGTGATTATTTCAACCCTATATTAATACAGAGTTCTTGCTACTTAATCTACTTCACAAAGTTATTCACTACAGAAATTAAGATGGGACTGAAGAGGATTTTAGGAAGATGGCAAAGAACCAGGAATCTGTCCTCCTACCTAAACAACAACTGCACTGGCAGAATCTGTCTGATAAAACTATGTTGGAAGTCTGGAATCTGCTGAAAGCCTGCAACTTCCAGGGGAACACATGGACGGTAAATTGTGGTTAATTTCTGGGAGTTGTGGGAGTAGTTCCTGGAGCAGCAAGTACACAAATCTTGGGAGCCAGGGTAGATAAAAAGAATCCTGTCCTACAACTACCAGATATTTGTGCTCTTATCACTGACTGCTGCTTCTGATCACAGAGGTAAAGACAAAGAAGAGGGCAGCCACTGTTGTACCTTCCCTCATTGCTGCAAGTCATTTCTCATCAGAATGAAGTGACTTCCAGGGTATTTAAAGGGCTAGCACCCTATTTTAGCTGTCATTTTTTTACTTTTTCCCATTTTGAGAGCCAGACATTAAATGCAAAAACAACATATTGGGGGAAATTAGAAAGTGACTATGCATACCCAGGGAAAGGCTCAGAAAAGACATAAGAAGACATTAAGTTCATCTTATTCTGATCCTTGGCACAGAGAAAAATAATAATAACAATGTAGCAACAGAAACAGCAAACCATAGGGAAATGAGACAATCTGATTTCCAGAGTTACCACATTATTAGATTCAAATGCCCAGTGTTCAATCAGAATAATCCCAATACATACAAAGAAACAGTACGGTAAGGCTAGCTAAACAAAATAAGGGGGGTGGAGGATGGGGTGGGTGGGTTTAATAGAAACTGGTCCTGAAAACGATCCGATAGCAGATCTACTAAACAAAGGCTTTTTAAAAACTGTCTTAAAAAGTACAAATTGGCAATTACAAAATAGTCACAGGGATGTGAAGTACAGCATAGGGAATATAGTCAATATTGTAATAACTATGTATGGCATCAGGTGGGTACTAAACTTATGGGGGGGTTCAATTCATAAGTTATATAAGTGTCTAACCACTAAGTTGTACAACTGAAACTAATACAATACTGAATGTCAGCTTTAAATATTTAAAAAATTTTTAACTGTCTTAAAGATGCTCAAAGAACGAAATGAAGATATGGAGAAAAATCAAGAAAATGTTGTATGAACAAAATAGAAGTATAAATAAAGACCAAAAAAAAACCAAAACCAAAACTAAAAAGAAACCAAAAAGAAATTCTGGAGCTGAAAAGTACAATAACTACAGTGAAAAACTTACTAGGTGAAAGAAGCAGAGAAAATATTTGTAGAAACTATGGTTGAAAACTCCCCAAATTTGATAAAAAAACATGAATATAAATATGCAATAAGCTAAACACATTCCAAATGAGATGAACTCAAAGGCATTCACACAGAGAATCCTGAAGGCAGAAAGATAAGTGAATTATTACATAAAAGGATCCTAAATAAGGATACCAAATGACTTCTCTTCAGAAACTTTGGAGACCAAAAGATAATGAACAGCATAGAGCGTCACAGCCTGTGGACTGAAGGATCCCACGTTCGATTCTGGTCAAAGGCACATGCCGGGGTTGTGGGCTCGATCTACCAGCAGGGGGCATGTAGGAGGCAGCCGATCAATGATTCTTTCTCATCACTGATGTTTCTATCTCTCTCCCTCTCCCTTCCTCTCTGAAATCAGTAAAAATATATTGGGCAGCATAATACATTTGAAGTGCTAAATGGAAAAAAAAAACTTGTCAATCAAGAACCCTATAGCTGGTTAAACTGAAATTCAAAAGAGAAGGAAAATAAATAAAAGATCAGAGACTGCTGCAACTAGATCTGCCCTGCAAAAAAAAAAAAAAAAAAATGGTCAAGGAACTCTGTCTGACAAGGTGAGATGACAGTGACAACAACTTGAAGCTACATAAGGAAAGACCTCAAAAAGATATATACGTGGGCAAAAGAAAAAAAGCAGTTAATCTACTGGCATAATCAGCCATCATTCTTTGTACATAATTTTAAAAATATACTCCCTAAAACATTTTGCATTGCTCAACTTATACATAATCTCAAAGCCTCCATATCCAAAGCATAAAAATTTCTCATCTAAGTCACACAATATGTTAGAAAGTTGTTTTGCTTCTGACTTTAAGTAGCATTAAAAAATAAACACTCTTGCCCTGACTGATGTGCTCAATGGTTAGAGCATCGGCCTGCACACCAAAGGGTCACAGGTTCAATTCTTGGCCCAGGTCGGGGTGCATGCAGGAGGCAACCAATCACTCACTGTGTCTCACTCACATCCATGTTTCTCTCTTTCTCTTCCTCCCTCCCTCCCTCCCTCCCCTCTCTAAAAATCAATGGAAAAAATATCTTCAGGTAAGAATTAACAAACAAACAAATAAATTTACTCTCATCACATTAAGGACAAAGGTAACTGTCCACCTCAAATTAATAAAAGACATAAAAGTTGTATTTTTAAAAGGTAGGTAGAGATTCTTTTCCAAGGAAATGCCAAATGGCGGATGACACTGGTGCTGCACGAGGGCCTGGAGGACCGGGGCCCTGGAACAGCAGGTTCGCAGCTGCTTCCGTGGAGGATTTGGCAGCCGTATCCGGAGCCGAGGCCACAGAGCTGGTAGAGACAAGGCCTAGGACAAGGAGTGGATCCCCGTCACCAAGCTGGGCTGTCTGGTCATGGATATGAAGATCAAGTCCCTGGAGGAGACCTATCTATTCTCCTTGCCAATCAAGGAATCTGAGATCACTGACTTTTTCTTGGGGGCATCCCTCAAGGATGAGTTCTTGAAGATTATGCCCATGCAAAAGCAGACATGTTCTGGGGGCCAGAGGACCAGGTTCAAGGCATTTGTCGCCTTTGGGGACTACAATGGACATGTTGGTCTGGGTGTTAACACTACGGTGTCGGGTGAATTTCCCGCCAAAATATAAGATGGCGCGGGCAATTATTTAGGTTTCCCGCGCAAAATCAGAGTTAGTTTAATATCTTTTGAAGTATGGGTTCGATTGAAATGAAATTTTCGGTACTCGACCAGCGCCATAAAGTGTTCTCTACTTACAAGGGATTTTTATGATACCTATTACCCCAATGGGTATGAAAAGGTTCGCATACACAGGTAGGTATCTTTGTGAACGGCAAACAAACAAATATTTGGTAATACGCAGTTACAATCGGCCCGAGTTTACACGTTTCCCGCACTCCACCGCAAAATCTATATGAACCGAGTTAAGACGGCTCCCGCGGAGTACGCGCAATTCACGCGAGCCGACTTAACTCGTTTCCCGCAACCCAAGTGCTAAGTACTCAAAGGAAGTAGCCACTGCCATCCGTGGAGCCATTATCCTGGCCAACCTCTTCATTGTCCCTGCGCAGCAGGCTACTGGGGAAACAAGCTCGGCAAGCCCCACACCGTTCCTTGCAAGGTGACTGGCACTGTGCCTCTACTGGTGCACCTCATCCCTGCCCCCAGGGCTACGGGCATTGTCTCGGCCTCTGTGCCAAAGAAGTTGCTGATAATGGTCAGTATTGATGACTGCTATACCTCGGCCAGGGGCTGCATTGCCACCCTGGGCAACTTTGCCAAGGCCACCTTTGATGCCATCTCTAAGACCTACAGCTATCTCACCCCAGATCTCTGGAAAGAGTGTGTTCACCAAGTCTCCCTATCAGGAATTCACTGACCATCTTGTAAAGACCCACACCAGAGTGTCTGTGCAGAGGGCCCAGGCTCCAGCTGTGGCCACCACATAATTATATACAAGAAAAATAAAGTGAATAAAGTCTGCTAGAAAAAAAACAAAACAAAGAAAGACAGGTAGAATAATGCCTCAAAAGACTTTTACCCACCATGTGATTAATACTAAGTCTGCATTCCTGAAAAACAAAGTTTTAAGGGCTGCAAGGATTCTTAAAAATTAGTGAGTTCTGCTGCCTCCCTCCTTCCATTGCCCCTAAACTATATCAGAACAATGTGCTCTGACTTTACTCCATTGGAGTTTTCACTATATTAATTATGTATATTACGATAACAGTAATATTGATAATAATAGGCATACAGAAAGCAGAGCTCAATGTTTACCATATTCATATTGGTATACAATTAACAACCAAACTGTAGAAAACAGCAATTACATTTTTTAGTAAGCAATTACAATTCACCAATACAAAATCAGTAAGTGATTTATTTACTCTGCAGGAAAAATAGGTAAGGAGATAAATTATTTCTAGCTAAAAGAGAGCTATACCTATTAATTACCAATGTAGTAAACTAAAAGGGACTCTACAGAGCTGCAGTGGTTACAACTCTCCCAGAATACATGACCTACACTTACTTCTAGAGCTTCTTTATATGTATCTGGTACAAAATAAGTAATTCTAAAGTCTGTTAAGATTCTCCTAAAGGCAAATGCCACAGCCATTACAAATATAAGCTGAAAAACATTCTGTATATACAGTTGTTAAACTTGAACTGCATCTCTAAGTAATCCTAATTAATAGCCGAATATACCTCTTTCTAGAGTTAAGAGTTCTGGAAGAATGTAAATTTCATCAGACCTCCATGGTTAACTTTCAAAAACATTTGTAAATTAGAGAGTAAAAATAAAAAGGGGATCAGTGGCTCTGACCTCATTTCTACCCAAAATATATTTTACATTAAATTAATATAAAGATAAGCATAGAGTAAATAGCAATTATAAAGTGAATAAGACTGACACAAGAATAACTATGAAAGAATATGTTGCCCAAACAATATGACATCAATAACCTTTAAGATCCATTAAGGATGTGGCTTGTTAACAAATAAGAACAAAGCAAGGAGTCACGTTTTAGAATCAGCATAATA